TATATGCCTATATATTAACAATATTTCCAAATTCAAGTAGGTGTATCTCAGAAATATTGTGTAATAGAAAAGAACTAATGGTATATTTGGATTCAGGCCATGTAGATAAGATGCTATTCCTTTGTGGACAAAGAAAAATATCTTTTGATAAACCAGTTACGTGACATTGTTTGCAATTTTTAGTGTATTTATCCCAATACTAAAAAAAGACCGTCACGCAAAAACCATAGGTGATGGGAAATTTCTGATTAGATTTTTAAGTTCAGCATGAAAAGTTACACTAGAAACATAATCAGGTTCTCTTGTGCAAAAATCTTGTTGACCAGTGTTATCGAAGGCAGTATCAGGTTGACAAAAGAATCTGTTGGAACTGCTCGGAACAAGGACATATTTCGAGGTATTGCCCGTATAAGCCCCAACACCAAAACTACAATATCAGACCTATCCGAAGACAATAAACGAGGTCAAGAGACGAACCAAATATACCACAAGAGGATTACCTAAAGAATTGTAGAGGCATCGAGGATGGGGAGCGAGAGGATCCAGATTTCGACATTCATAGCGAGGAAGACTTCCCTACTCTAGGGGAAGCGTTAAAAAACTAATTAAGTCAAAAGGATTGCAACGCTCCGGTGATCGAATAAATTTAATTGTAAATCTTCAGGAAAACAAAACCATTCGCATTGTAATATGTGGAATGCCAATAGAAGGACTGATAGACACCGGAGCAATGGTCAGTTGCATTGATGAGGACCTTGTTAAGAAGCTCGAATTAAAGATCATACCCGATAAAAATCTAAAATTAAAATCAGCAGGTGATCAAAAACTCAATGCAATAGGGAAGTCAAGAGTTAAATTTAAAATCAATAAAAAAGAATATGAAATAGAAATGATTATCTTAAAAAAATGCAACCCTGTAATAATCCTTGGAGATGACTTTTTAAGTCAAAATAAAGCACTAATAAATTGTCAAAACAATACCTTGTGGGTGGAATCCCCAAATGTATTTGACCAAAATGAACCAAATTTAAGATATGCTCATATAGCTGAGGATAAAATCATTCCTGAATTTTGTTTATGCTTAGTAAAAGGATATAGTAAGACTAGCATTACAGGCAGAGAAATACTAATTGAGAATATTCCTTCTCTGACAACCAAATATAATCTTATAACAACCAGATCCCTATTGAGTAATACCAAGAAAAACTTGAACATATGGATTTTAAACGGTACGAACAAACCTGTAAAACTCTTCCGGAACACGAAGATAGGAATACTTTCGGAGGTAGACAGACTGTACCAGACGGAGAACCAAAGAGTAGCCTCTATTAGAACTGATTTTGATATAAATCCTGAATTATGTCCAGAAGAACGCAGCCAGGTTTTGACCCTCCTTGGTGGATATGGCGAGATGTTTACGGCACCGGATGAGTATAAGGGTAGAACACATCTCGTCAAACACCAAATTAGAACAACGAGCGATATCCCCATTAGGAAAAATCCTTACAGAGTATCTTTAAAAGAACGGAAGATAATTGGTGATCAAATAAACAGTATGTTAAAAAATGGAATTATTTCACATTCCTCAAGTCCATGGGCCTACCCTATAATTCTAGTGAAGAAAAAGAATGGAACATTTAGATTTTGCGTGGATTATAGAAATCTGAACTCAGTCACAGTAGAATACCAATATCCACTACCGCGCATAGATGACTGCTTCGACTCCCTTCATGGCGCCAGGTACTTTACTTCACTCGACCTTTGCTCAGGCTACTGGCAAGTGGAGGTGGAAGAACAGGACCGTGAAAAAACAGCCTTTATCACTCCTGATGGACATTATCAATTTAATGTTCTTCCTTTTGGATTGTGCAACGGGCCAGCAACTTTCGAGAGATTAATGGATACTGTTCTTAGAACCCATAAGTGGAAAATATGCCTGTGTTACCTCGACGACGTCATTATATTCTCAGAAGATCTACATTCCCACTTGAACAGATTGAAGACAATCTTAGAATGTTTGAAAACAGCAGGATTGACACTCAATGCTTCGAAATGCCGATTTGCATATACCAAGCTTCTTATTTTGGGACATGTCGTTTCAAATGAAGGAATCGCGCCAGACCCAGAAAAAATTATAAGTATAAGAAAATTTCCAACGCCCAGAACTGTCAAAGATGTCCGAGCTTTTCTTAGACTTTGTTCATACTATAGAAGATTTATAAGAGAATTTTCAAAAGTTGCATTGCCTTTACATATTTTGACCCGTGAAAACCATTCGTTTGCATGGGGTAAAGAACAAGAGTTGTCATTTAATTCATTGAAAAACAAACTCATCTCTCCTGAAGTATTAATACATTACGATCCAAATAAGCCTATAGGCCTCCACACAGACGCAAGCGACCAAGGACTTGGAGCAGTGCTTGTTCATTTAGATGAAAACACTAAAGAGCGTCCAATTTCTTATGCAGGCAGGACATTACAGAAAGCAGAAACCAACTACTCTACAACCGAGAAAGAATGCCTAGCTATCATATGGGCGATTAAAAAATTTAGACCATATCTTTACGGAAAAAAATTCACAATATATACAGATCACCATAATCTGTGCTGGATGGCAAAAATGAAAAACACTGCAGGGCGATTAGCGAGGTGGTCACTAGAACTACAAGAATATGATTTTGCCATTAAATACAAGTCTGGGAAAACTCATCTAGATGCAGATGGATTGTCACGATGTCCTATCCCGGATAGAATTATTTCCACAATTAATTATGAGGAACATGATTATAATTCTTATATAAAAAAGATCGATAATTTGGTAAATCAGAATCCAAACAGCTATGGAGAGAACTTCACCAAATTTAAAGAAAAATTATTCAAGAAAAATCCTTCTGTGACTGGCGATCCTTGGTTGTTGATAGTCCCGAAAAACAAACAGAAAGAGCTCTTAGAAAATATGCACGACCATCCAGCATCAGGTCATATGGGCATTAAAAGAACTTACAATCGTTTAAAGAGTAAATATTTCTGGCCCTCAATGCTTAAAACTGTGGAAGAATATGTATCTAGTTGTCCTGAATGCCAGTTTCGCAAGACACCTTCCCGATTGCCTCAAGGACTGTTGCAGCCGATTCCACCAGCTTCAAGGCCTTTTGAAAAAATGGGAATAGATTTGATGGGGAGATTCCCGAAATCTGGAAGAGGAAATAGTTGGATCCTGGTATGCACGGATTATTACTCCAGATATATCGAGACAGCGGCATTACCTCGCGGGACGGCGGAAGAAATTGCAGACTTTTTCTTGCAAAGAGTGGTATTACGACACGGCGCACCCAAAACAGTAATATCTGACCGGGGGAGTTGCTTCTTGAGCAAACTATTCAATGAAGTGCTTAAGATATGTAATACGCTCCATAAGAAAACGACGAGTTATCATCCCCAGACTAACGGCCAAACGGAGAGAATGAACCGTACGCTCGCTGATATGATGGCCATGTATATCGATGAGAGACATCAGAATTGGGACGAGATACTTCCATTCGTAACTTTCGCCTATAACTCGTCCATACAGGATACTACCGGCTATTCACCATACTTCCTAATCCACGGACGAGAGCTATTGACCTTCTTAGATTCTACTTTTGATATGCCAGAGCTCTCTAAGCACAAAGACTATGACGAATATGTATCAAACCTTTTAGAAATAATAGAAGATACAAAAGTAATATCCACCTCTAGAACAATAGCCCGACAGAATAAATCCAAACAGTTATATGATAGAGCCCACCGAGAATTTAAATATGCCATCAATGATCTGGTACTGATTTGGACACCAATAAGGAAAGTAGGAAGAGCGGACAAACTACAAAGAAGATACGTCGGTCCTTACCAAATACTGCGACAAACATCACCAGTGAACTACGAAGTCATCGAAATTGCAGAAGGAAAAAGGAAAAAGAAACAAATAGTACATGTGACAAGAATGAAAAAATACAGATCACCAGACTTGAGGACAAGTCTTTTTCAAGAGAGGGAGTAATGTTGGCGCGCTGTTGGAGCCTTTAATTTACATGTCACATTTTAATTTACTTGTTTTGTCTACATCATTTCTTATGGATCCAATTTTAACTTTTAACATCTTATTTATTTTTAATAACTTTCATGTATAATTATTTTTACATAATTTTGTTATCTATAATTATTTTACATACTTTTGTATCGTCAAATTTGCATACTTTTGTTTTTAGATTATTTAAGACAATAATCTTTAGTTAGAAAGTGCTTTGCCTCAAAACTTTTGGTTTGTGAATAAACGTCAAAAAGACTTCTCGAATGTTTCTTCCCAATACCTCAGGTCACCAGCGCAACAATATATATGTTTTTCGGCTATGCACGCCTTCAATATGTAACTAATCTCGCTGAAATTTGAACAGGACAGAGAGTTAAATCTGGAAGAGTTTTTTGTCGCACTTTTAACCAAAAAAAAATTATAATTAACCAAGTACTGAGCAACAATATATTTTTACATTATAAAGGACTGCGGCGTATGATTATAAAACAACAAGTTTCACCGCATAAGTTATTTTCTGTGAAAAAAACAATATTTATTTCAAAGAGAAATATTTACTATTTCTAACTTTTTTGGATGAAGTATGAAAAGGTGAAAATATGAAGAGTAATGGCGAACGGAAAAATAAAAGTGTCCAGGGGCGGGAATCGAACCCACAACGTTCCGCTTACCGGGCAGATGTCATGTCCACTAGGCTACCCTGGACGTATTTTTCCGTTCGTAAATAATACTTGAAGTAACTTATAATACATTATAAAGGACTGCGGCGTATAATTATAAAACAACACTTAAGGTTTCACCGCATAAGTTTCTTTTCTGTGAAAAATCAATATGCGGTGAAACTTTAAGTGTTGTTTTATAATCATACGCCGCAGTCCTTTATAATGTATTATAAGTTACTTTAAGTATTATTTACGAACGGAAAAATACGTCCAGGGTAGCCTAGTGGACATGGCATCTGCCCGGTAAGCGGGACGTTGTGGGTTCGATTCCCGCCCCTGGACACTTTTATTTTTCCGTTCGCCATTACTCTTCATATTTTCACCCTTTCATACTTCATCCAAAAAAGTTGGAAATAGTAAATATTTCTCTTTGAAATATATATTGATTTTTCACAGAAAAGAAACTTATGCGGTGAAACTTTAAGTGTTGTTTTATAATATATTTTTAGTCAGAAATGATGATGACAGTATTGTTGTATAATGCTTGATTAACATAAACAAAATTCTTTGGGGGAATATTCACTAAAGCAGACAACGGGCGAAGCCAGATAATAAATTTTTAGTAGGCAGGAACAAATTTCTACCAGCGAAACATTCACTCGAGCAGAAGACACACGAAGCCAGGTCATCTCTCTATATAAAATATCATTTCTCGACTTTTTGGCTAAATTCATGTAGTATATCTCTAGATATTTTTATTTATATATATCTTTTTAAAAATCATTTCAGTAGAGAGAGTAGATATGATTGCTCGAAAAATATATTTTATATATTATAGAAATATATAATGTAACGAATATTATTATCATAATATTCTATGTGTTCTGGAATATTATTATCAATAATTAATTCAAAATTATTATCAATAATATTCGTTAGGCAAACTTTCACTCGGATAAAACCCGGCGAAGCCGGATACACATCCGCTAGTATTTTATATAAATGTTTATGTTAGGTAAAAAAACATGTAGATTTTAATGGTATATATTTTTTAAAATATTTGTATTTATTTAATATTGATTGCAGAAAATTTTTGAATGACCCTTGTAAATTCATTTAAAGGACCTCATTGAAAACTACATTTCTAGCTTGATATATTATGTATAACCTCGTTAATTCGAAACACGATAATTCGACCGTAGCCTACGGCCTATCCTATAATAAAAAGGTAATTTGACATTATCGATAGTTCGACCCTTCTGATAATGTGACCATTTTACAATCAAATTTCGACAGTTGATTGTTGTTTAAAAACCTTACAATTGAAAACATATTAGACAGCACAGTGCCAAAATGTAGAAAATTTATTAATAGAGCAGTTGTGAAAATATGTAAATAGAGAGGAGACCAAAAATCAAAATAATTGATAAAAATAGTTTATTAGCGAACAAATAATACAAAAAATATTCTTTCAGGTGAATAACTATAAAGGCATTTAAAGAGACAAAGGTCGTTTCTCCCGTCAAAATAGACGTCAAAACTAGACGCCATCTATTGACCGTCGCCGCGAACTAGCGTCCTCGGGTCGGTGACAAAGCCACAACACCAGCTTTAGCAAACTGAAAAGCGTCGACCTAGTGACCATGGTTTCGGGCTAATGGCCCTCGTCAGCCTAGGGGGGATTTTTTTCCATGAGATCCACACGGGATCTAATGGAATCTTGGCAATCTGCCAAAGAAGTGTTTAGCTGGAAAAGTGGCTGGGCCAAATCTATGGCTAAAATATAGATGGAAATTTTGCCGGGAGGAAATTGATATAAAGAGACAAGGGTCGCCTCTCCCGTCAAAATAGACGTCAAAAATAGACGCCATCTATTGACCGTCGCTGCAAACTAGCGGCCTCGGGTCGGTGACAAAGCCACAACACCAGCTTTGTCAAACTGAAAAGAGTCCACCTAGAGACCATGGTATCGGGCTAATAGCCCTCATCAGCCTAGGGCGGACTTTATTCCATGAGATCCACACGGGATCTGATGGAATCTTGACAATCTGCCAAAGAGGTGTTTATCTGGCAAAGTGGCTGGGCCAAATCTATGGCTAAAATATAGATGGAAATTTTGCCGGGAGGAAATTGATCTAAAGAGACAAAGGTCGCCTCTCCTATTTTGACGAGAGTGCTTGGTATATGAAGTATCCAAAGATATTTTTGTCACCAATACAGTGTGTCCAAGCACCGAGGGGATCGGAGACGGCCCATGGGACAAAGGTGGAGGTCATGGGCGCATGCTGGGATACCCGACACCGGGGAGAAGTAGTGAGTGACCGGTGTAGAATGGACGGACACACGCTATGGCTAATCTCTGAGATGACCCCGGACGGTCTCTTTTGTATTTCCAGCGGGGAGCGGCCTGGACTCACGTGGTTGCTGTCTAAACGTTCGGCACCCAGATCTCTGAAATTTTGCTACTCTATTATAGTCCTGGGGTTTTCCCAGAGTTCTTTTTTGGAGGATTTGATACAATTCAATAGATGTTCAGGACTGGCTGGTTGGGAATCGCATTTGGGGCTATATCGCATTTTGCTATGTAGCAACGTTTTCTAAACCGACTCTTTTGCTGGTTTTATTATGACGTTATAATATATATTTTGAAGTTTGGATACAATTTTGTACGGTATTATCATGCTATCTCACATTTGTGATTAAAACGAACCTATCCTATATATATATATATAGAGAGATATATATAGTATATAAATAGTATACTACAGATTATAATAATGAAGTTATGGCCTATCATAAGAAATATGAGTGGTGATAGCATATAGGGGAGCAGTGTACATATCAATAAGGGGGTATGATCTTAAACTAATGAATCTAACTTTTTATAAAATAAACGAACTCTTTATACTAACAGTGTTATTATATATTACAATATTCAAAATATTCTTTATATATATTGAAATCATAAAAGGCATATCCTGACCACGAGCACATGTTATTTTTAGAAGGCAAAGAGTGCCATCTAGTAGAACATAAATCAACTAAAAGTTGATTTTACCTGTTCCCTGAAATTTTGCCAACCGATTTTCTTGATAAATCAAGAAAAACCATCCACGAACAAGATGAGATCCACACGGGATCTAATGGAATCTTCACAATCTTCCAAAGAGATGTTCAGCTGGCAAAGTGGCTGGGCCAAATCTATGGCCAAAATTTAGATAGGAATTTTTCCGAGTGGAAATTGATCTATAAAAGCATAGGGCGCTTCTCCCGTCAAATTAAACGTCAAAAAACTAGACACCATCAATTAACCGTCGGTCAATTCGTTGAGGGTTTTCATGGGAAAAATTAATGTAGTTGTTTCTCCTCGCCTTCCTCATCTATAATGTAGTTAATCCAATAGTAGCTTCATCCGCCATTAGAACACAATTCAAGCTTCAAGGGTAAGTGGGTGTCTTCCTCATATAAGGATGGAGTTGGAGACTTTTCCCTGTTTCCGCTTGGTCCTCTTCTAGCTAGCGCTCTTAATGGTTGCCCATCTTTCGTCATGTTCAATTTTAACATAGGTTCCGAGGCATATACATGTATGAGAAGGTTTCGGTTAATCCTTTTCAATTTGAAATTATTCAACTTCCAATAAATGTGAGAGACCACTCCCAGAAGAAACAAAAATCTAAATTAATATGAAAAAGGTCGTACACGGATATATAATGAAAATAAAATTGTTCTAGAAATATTTCGAGAGATTGCTCCCTCTTTATCAATTCATTGCACAGTAAACTTAATTTACAAATTCTTGTAGATCACATGAATGGCCAATGAAAAGATTGTTTTCATGTGATCTACAATAATTGGTAAATTAAGTTTACTGTTCAAGAAATCGATAAAGAGGTAGCAATCTCTCGAAATATTCTGAGAAAAAAAATGTTTTTCTTTACAGATCTAGGTACGCCTTTTCTATATAAACATATAATGGATCTACTTTTTTGACTCAAGAATATAAATGTTCCTTAGGACGGACGGTCTTTTGAATGAAGTTCGAATGTTGTCATTTATTTATGTTTGATCGACATGGGAACCTTTCAACACATCGAATATGGAAGTGAAACAAGTCAAAAAAGGAATTCAACCTGAAGACATATACAAAAACAATCTATAGAGAGAAAAATCGAAGTATTTTCCATAAAAAAGGTCCCTTTCACTCACTTCTCAAGACATTTTTAAGTGGTCTGCGAAGATCGATAAACCAATTTCCGTCAAAAATCTGCAAGAACTCTCCCTTCCTCTCCATTCCATTAAACAGTACCTGACACCATCAATGATGACAAAAGGCTGATGACTCAACATTCCCCGTTTGATTGCACTCTCTCTATACCTACCCTGATGTACCTACCCTGATGTACCTGCCCTGATTTACCTGCCCTGATGTACCTACCCTGATGTACCTGCCCTGATGTACCTGCCCTGATGTACCTACCCTGATCTACCTACTCTACTTTACATAGTTTTCTATAATTTACATACATTTACATCGCGACGGTTAAAAATAACAGGCAATTAGAACAATGTGTGACAAGATTTTATACTTATAAATATAACATTTAAAAGCACATTTTTCAGATTATTTTTAGAATTATCAGTTATATATTGTAAAATATATATAATATAAATTTGTTTAGAAACATTTGAGATATTTGTCTCAAAATTATTTCCATTTATATACAAAGGAGTTATATAAATGTTGAATTTTGAAAACAGCATTTTCAATTCGAAATTGAATATTTTCCTGCTCGATGAATTTGCCTACATTTGCTATATGTTACTGACAGAATAAAAGGAATAAATCTAAAATTATTATTATATTATAAACGATTTTTTTTTTTATTTGATGAGCAACCACATCTTCTAAGCCACCATTCTTGTTAAATAAAAATAACTTCAATAAAATAATGGTCACATCAAAAGAGACGCTTGAACTAAGCGCCCTTCATTGACTGTCTTCTGCAAACTTCGGTTCAATGGAATGGATGGCGTGTAGAGTTAGCGACATTCTTTATTTTTATACGCTCATGGACAAACCTTAAGGAAGTTGTAGCTTTAGTACAATGTATATCGGGAAAAATACTCTGAAAAATCAACAGTTAGTTGATATAGAATTTGATAGATGGCATAATATCATCAATATTGAGTTGCACGATCAGGAGATGTCCTTTCAATATATTATCTCTTCTCTCTTTGTAAAAATTTCTTAAACAAAAATTAAGAAATGAATAAAGAGTTAAAAAAAAAAAAATATTATGTTTTAGTGGGCTGGCTGATGTAATAAGAGAATTCAAATTGGA